TCTCCTTGCCACTGCTGAGACTGAACCCAGGGCTTCAGATAAATGACCAGGTAAAAATGGCCAGTTAGGGCCGGGCGCTGGTGGCTCACGCCTGTAATCCTAGCTACTCAGGAGGCTGAGATCTGAGGATCGCGGTTCAAAGCCAGCCCGGGCAGGAGAGACCGTGAGACTCCTATCTCCAATAAACCACCAGAAAACCGGAAGTGGCGCTGTAGCTCAATTGGTAGAGCGCTCGCCTTGAGCTGAAGAGCTGAGGGACAGCGCCCAGGCCCAGAGTTCAAGCCCCACAACCGACGAAAAAAAAAAAAAAAAAAATGGCCAGTTAGCCCTCCACTGGGTGAAGGGGATACAGAGATGACCCAGTTAGCATTGTCAGGAGATACTATGAATGCATATTCTGGTGAAAGACAATAGGCAACTGTAAAACTGGCACCATAGTGGAGACTAGAGGCCATAAGCACACAGCAGCTCACACCTATGTGCAGGCTCTATAGGGTGAGAAGGGAGGCTGGGTTTACACCACCCAAGGCTCCAGCATCTCCCTACAAAAAATTCAGTTTCTTCTTTATTACAGGAACACATATTATTTACAGTACAGGTAACTAACAGTAGAGAGAGGTTCTGCATAGTTTCTTTCCCTCCTTCTCTCCTTCCCACTCTCTCTCCTTCTCTCCCTCCCTCCCTTCCTTCTTTTTATATTTTTTGGGGGCTTCCAGTCATGGGGCCTGAACTCTGGACCTAGGCGCTGTCCCTTAGCTCTTCAGTTCAAGGCTAGCGCTCTACCACTTGAGCCACAGTGCCACTTCCAGCTTTTTTTTTTTTTTACTCCTTATGTGCTGCTGAGGAATCGAACCCAGGGCCTCATGCATGCAAGGCAAGCGCTCTACCACTGAGCCACCTTCCCAGCCCCATTTTTACTTTTTGTAGTGGTTCAGGGGCTTGAACTCAAGGCATGGACACTGTCCCTGAGCTTTTTTGTTCAAGTCTAGTACTCTACCACTTGAGCCAAGTTCCACTTTTGTCTTTTTTTGGTGGTTAATTGGAGATAAGAGTCTCAGAGGGAAGTGGAGCTGTGGCTCAACGAGGTAGAGTACTAGCCTTGAGTGAATAAAGCTCAGAGACAGCATCCAGGCCCTGAGTTCAAGCCCCATGACCACCAAAAAAAATTCTTAATTTGGAAATGGCACTGTGGCTCAAGTACTAGAGTGCTAGCCTTGATTACAAAGAGGCTCAGGGATTGCACCCAGGCTTTGAGCTCAAGTCTCACAACTGACAAAAAAAAATAGTCTCATGAACTTTACTGCCTGGGCTGGTTTGAACTGGGATTCTCAGATCTCAGCCTCCTGAGTAGCTAGGATTATAGGTGTGAACCACCACCATATGATTTCTTATTTTTAATGTGCCCAAAGCCATGCAGCTTCTAAGTAGTAGAACTGAGATTCAAAACCAGACATGTTCCAGAGCCTGCTTCCATTTTAGAATGTTTTGAGGTTAAAATTCACAGAATACAAAATTAACCCTTTTTTCTCAAAAAAATTTAAAAATTTTTTTGTTGGTCGTGAGGCTTGAACTCTGGACCTGGGCACTGTCCCTCAGCTCTTCAGCTCAAGGCAAGCGCTCTACCACTTTGAGCCACAGCACCACTTCTGGTTTTCTGAGTGGTTTACTGGAGATGAGTCTCACGGACTTTTCCTGCCCTAGCTGGTCTTTTTTTTTTTTTTTTGGTCGGTCATGGGCTTGGGTGCTGTCCCTGTGCTCTTCAGTTCAAGGTGAGCGATCTACTGCTTGAGCCACAGTGCCAGTTCTGGTTTTCTGAGTAGTTTTTTGAAGATAAGAGTCTCCCAGACTTTTCTGCCCAGGCTGGCTTTGAACCATGATCCTCAGATCTCAGTTTCCTGAATAGCTAGGATTACAGGCATAAGCCACAAGTGCCTGGCTTCTCAAAATTTTTTAGATCTGCTTTTGGTTTTCTTTTTTCCTTTTTATTAATTATATTAATTGCAATTAATATAATTAATTATATATCTATATATACAATTGTACAGAGAGTTTCATTATGATATTCCCATACATATATAATCACAGTATATAATATACTGTGATCAATTTCAACCCTCTATTACTCTATTTCCCCTCTTCTCCTTTGAAAAGCAATTTCTAGCCAGGCACCTCAGATGACTTGAGCCTGTAATCCTAGATATGTTGGAGGCTAAGAATGGGAGGATCTTGGTTCAAGGCCAGGTAGAGCAGAAAAGTCCTTGAGACTCTGCCTCCATGGAAGGAGGTTGGACATTGTGGCAAGTACCAGTAATAGTAGTACCTAAAAGTAAACTGGTCATGGCACAGACACAGACAGGGTGTGGGAATCAAGACCCTATCCTAAAAATAACCAGCAAAAATCAGGGCTTGGGGTGTGGCTTAGCAATATCATGCCATCCTCACAAACCCAGGGACAAGCTAAAACCCCAGTACCACACACACACACACACACTTGATTTCATGCAAAGTTTTTTGGTCATACTTACCCTTCCTTTGCCTTCTCCTTTCACCCATTTACTTCTCCAAAATTGATGTGCTGACGCTAGAACCTAGAGCCTTTTGTATTCTGTTAACATTCTACCACTGAGCTTATATTCTCCCAGCCCCTAGGTCCAGCTTTATTTTTTAAAAAATCATCAGAATCACAAAGCTTTTACAGCTACATTCTACTCACTGCCAAAGTACTGTCAAATGATTATCTGTAGTAAAACAATGACAATAATCCAAATACAACCTGGACTGCCTACTGGTGAAGAGCCTTATTATTAATTCTCAGTTACTCAGTGGTAATGAATACTGATATTGTATAAGTGTACCAATTATTTGATGAAACTGAGCAGATGGAAAATCCATTCTTCCTCTTCCTTCTTTTGCCTTCTTAAACCTCTCATAGAAACCCCTTTGGCCCTTTGGTCTGGCTGCTCCTGCAGCAATTCCAAACCAAGTGATGTAATGATCCTTATAAACCTCAAAATCAGGAATCTTGAATTCCAAGGGTGTGTCTTCCTCCTATTCAGTGGGCACTGAGAGACAAATCCACAACAGTAAAACAAAATCAACGATTTTAAGGCAAATAATTCAGTGGTAAGGCAGTCCAGTCACAATGTTGTATAACTAAAACATTTTGGTCATTTCAGTGTAAAGCCCTGTCAGGCACCAGGGCTTTTACACCTGAAATCCTAGCTACTCAGGAGACTTGAGATCTGAGGATCTAGGTTCAAAGTCAGCCACAGCTCCACTTGAGTACAAGTGGTAGAGTGCTAGCTTTGAGTGAAAAAGCTAGAGTCTCTAGGTCCTAAGTCCAAGCCCGGGTGCCAGCACACACACACACACACACACACACACACACACACACACACACACAAGGCCTCAAGTATTTTTCCAGAGCTGGACTGGCCTCTCACATTATAGGCACACTCTAGGTGTGTACTATCATGTACTACTATCAATCCTCTTAATAACCTAGCAGTAGAATTGAGGAAAAGAAAGTTGTGCTCAATGCTAACATGCAAGACTTCATAGGTAGGTAGTTGTGTGACTTTGAATCTTCATTTTCTAACTCCAGAGGCTAAATATTTTATTTCTAATATTTTATTGTTATTAAAGTGTTGTACAGAGTAGTTAACATTTCATGATTCAGGTACTAAGTACAATTCTTTCTGGATAATGTACCCCTTCTTTCACTTTTCCCTAGTTTCCCCCTCCTATCCCTGCCCAAAGTTGCATAGTTATTTTCCATACAGTGTCTACTGAGTACCATGCCTGCATTTTTTTTTTTTGTCAGTAGTGGGGCTTGAACTCTGGGCCTGGGTGCTCGCCCTCAGCTCTTCAGCTCAAGGCTAGTGCTCTACCACTTGAGCCACAGCGCTACTTCCAGCTTTTTCTGCTTATGTGGTGCTGAGGAATGGAACCCAGGGCCTCATGCATGCAAGGCAAGCGCTCTACCACTGAGCCACCTTCCCAGCCCCCATGCCTGCATTTGTTCATCCTTCTTCCTACCATTTCTGCATCCTCTTTGCCCTCCTCAATACAGGGAAATAAAAATATTTACAGGGGAAAAAATACAGGGAAAAACCCCAAACAAACCACCAAAACAAAATAAAACCACCACCAACTCCAAGAACAACAATTGAGATTAAATATTTTAATAATGCACATCTTTGGGGGATTAGGATGAGGAGTAGACTGCATTTGATTTTCAAACCACAGGATGAGGTGAAACTGCAATTAGTACCGTACAAGCGGTTGATTAACACCGAGAGCCAACGGCAGAGCCAGACAGCAGCAATCGGGAAGGTCGGCACAGCAGCAAGCCTCGCCAACCCCTCCAGAACAGGCTGTCAGTCAATCCTGGCCAGGAGGGCGGGGCTTGCTCGGCCCTGGCAACCAGGTCCTGCCAGGGAACTCAGGTGGTTGGAGGCCTGGTAAGGGCAACCGGAGGAAACACAGTAGGAAGCAGTCGGGGCCTATGCCATCCACTGAGGGGGGCGTCTAGAGTAGGGGGGCTTTTTAGTATCTGTCATCCCTCTTGAAGGGGCTGTCACCTCTGTAGTATCCTTCTCCCGCAACATAGGGGTGCTCTCTATACAGCTCCCCTTTTCTCTTAAGATCCCTCGATTCTCGGTGGGGGGATCTGATGAGGGAGGGTTTCTTTCCCAAGTGCTCCCTCCCCCTTCTCAGGGCGGTAACCGGGTTCCAGTTCAACAAAGCCTCACCCTTGGCCCAAGCCCGCCCGCGGCGCCGCTAGCGGGAAGCTCCATGGCAACCGGAAACATCACAACTCCATAGAGATATCGCGAGAAGTCGCGGTTGCCCCCGTGGTCCAGGAGGGGCGGAGCGAAGGCGGGAACGGGAACGCCGCGGGGTGGAGCCCGAGCGCTTCCGACGTCCGGAGTCTCTTCAGGCGGCGCCCCCGCGTGACTCGGCTTTACATAATCGCGGCCTCGAGCGTAACTGTGGTGTACTCCGGTCTAGACCGAATCGAGTCGGCCGAGGCTCCTCGTCCCGCCCCTCCTGGCTTGATCGACGTCGGACAGAACCAGTGGACGGGCCTCCAGCGTCGTCGTCGTGCCCGCCCGGGTTCGCCCCGGCCCGCTCGCCTCGGCTCGCCGCTTGTCGCCGCCGCCGCCCCCAGATTGTGTCTCCGACTGTCAGCTAAGTCGGCGGGCCGCGCCGGCGGGGCGGCGACCACGGCCCGGGCCGGACATGGCGGCGCTCTACGCCTGCACCAAGTGCCACCAGCGCTTCCCCTTCGAGGCGCTGTCTCAGGGGCAGCAGCTGTGCAAGGTGCGCGGGCTGGGGCGGCGGCCGGGAACTGGGGGCGCCGGCGGCGCGGCCCGGAACTGTCCGTTCTGCGCCGAGGACGCCCGGCAGGGCCCCTCGGGCGGGGTGTGGCCGGCCCGCCTGGCTGCGGCGCCGCACCCGCCGGGCTGGAGGCCTGAGAGGCACGTGGGGGAGCCCCGGGCCCCACGGCCGGCGTGGCACGGTGCTTAGCAACCGCCGGTGGTTCTGGGACCCGGTGAGGTCGGGGGAGGGGACAGCGTGTCCCTTGGTTGCTCCTGACCGGCTACGCGGGGGAATCCGCTGCGGTTGCCCTGGTTGCAGACCAAGGGACCCCCACACGAGCACCCCTTGCCCCGCGTGGGACTTAATTCCGAAGTTGGGTACTGCCTGGGGGGAGTGCCTCAAACATGAACAATTCACAGGCACTTTTCAGCTCGTCTCAATCGGAGGTGGCAAAGCTTTATTTAAAGAAGAATTTTACGCACATGTATCTCTACAGGCATACCAGTCAGCACATGAATCAAGCAGATGATTTTGTAGCATCCAGTCGGCCTTAGGTCTTCACCCGAACTAGTTGTTTACCCCCTTTTCCAACTTGTCTTTTTCACGAAAGTTGCTTCCTCCCACTTTACCTATTTAAGGAAACATAGGTGTTGGAAGGCAACAGTTAAAAGTCACCAAATCTGAGATGTCCTCAGATAATCCAGCTCCTGATTGTCATTGTTGGCCTTGAGCAGCCATGACTTTCCTTATGCCATTCTTGCTTACCACAAATGAGTGATCTTTTGGACCTTACAAAAATTGTATATAATTGTTTAAAATATGTGTGTATGTTAAATTTCATATAAAATTTGATAGAAAAGAATTTAATTTAGCACTTTTATTTCACAAGTAAACTTGTACAATATCACACAGTGGCAGAACCAGAATTAGAGAATCAAGAGCTTCCAACTCCCAGTCTGGTCTTATTCATACATATATGTTTGTTTTACAACTCATGACTAGTTCCCTACAAATTCTTCTGCCCACAACAACGGCTGGGCAATGATGCAGATATAGAGATGGAGAATAAGGCCCAGAAAGTTAAGTGACTCATTCAAGCATAGTTACTATGCTGGTATTACCAGTACCCAGGTTGTCTGTTTCTTAGGGAAGGCTTTTTCATTTGTGAGTTCCTTTAAAAAATTATATCATTTCATTTCAGGAATGTCGGATTGCGCACCCTGTTGTGAAGTGTACCTACTGCAGGACTGAGTACCAGCAAGAGAGGTAGAGTTTTGGTTCAACATGAAAGCTGTTAATAGGCTTTTCCTTTGAGCTGTGATGCATTTCATGTAGGGATGTGTCATCAATTGCATTGTAATAAACACATAGGCAATTACAGTATGTATACACATTATGTAGTTTCCTGTTTATATTGAAAAATATATAGTCCACATATCACTCTAGATAAAACCTATTGATTGCCTTTTTTGGGGGTGCTGGTCCTAGGGCCTGAGCTCAGGGCCAAAGGTGCTTTCTCTTAGCTCTTTTGCTTAAGGCTGGCACTCTACCACTTGAGCCACTGCTCTATTTCTTGGTTAATTGGAGATAAAGAGTCTCAGGACTGGGGCTGGGAAGGTGGCTCAGTGGTAGAACGCTTGCCTTGCATGCATGAGGCCCTGGGTTTGATTCCTCATCACCATATAAGCAGAAAAAGCTGGAAGTGGGCACTTGGCTCAAGTGGTAGAGTACTAGACTTGAGCTGAAGAGCTGAGGGACAGCGCCCAGGCCCAGAGTTCAATCCTCATGACCTGCAAAAAAAAAAAAAAAAAGTCTTAGGACTTTACTGCCCTGGATAACTTTGAACAACAGTCCTCAGATCTCAGCCTCCTGAATAGCTAGAATTACAAGAGTGAGCCACTAGCACCTGGATACACCTTTTTTTTTTCTTCCTTCTTTTGCTGATACTATACCTTGAACACAGGGCCTTGTGTACTCACTAAGCTTTTACCACTCTTGTCTGTGACTTCAGGCTTTTTGCTGGTTAATTGGAAATAAGAGTTTTTTGGATATGTCTGAGCTGGCTTTGAGTCACAATTTTCAGATCAACCTCCTGAGTAGTTAGGATAGATGTGAGCCACCAGTGTCTGGCAGATTACGTACATTTTTACTTTTTATTATTTTAATGCTGGAGATTGAATATGGAGCCTCATGCATGCTTAAACATATGCTCTAATACTGGAACTATAATTCCCTATTGCTTAAATTGTTTCCATTTCCTGGAGTTTATTTCGGTTATTTTATATGATCAGAGACACTTAGGCATTGTGCCTTTGTGTTCCTCCTTTCCTAAGAGGAATATTTTAAAAATATATATCTATAGAGAGAGAGAGAGACAGAAAGAGAGAGAGGAGGAGAGGGGAGAGAGGGCTGGGAAGGTGGCTCAGTGGTAGAGTGCTTGCCTTGCATGTATGAGGCCCTCGGTTCAATTCCTCAGCACCACATAAGCAGAAAAAGCTGGAAGTGCACTGTGGCCCAAGTGGTAGAGCACTAGCCTTGAGCTGAAGAGCTGAGGGACAGGGCCTAGGCCCAAAGTTCAGGTCCCATGACCAACCAAAAAAAAAAAAGATATTTATAGATCGTGGGACTTGAACTCTTGGCCTGGGCGCGTCCCTCAGCTTTTCAGTTAAGGCTAGCGCTCTACTACTTGAGCTACAGTGCAACTTCCAGTTCTCTGGTGGTTTATTGGAGATGAGAGTCTCATGGACTTTCCTGCCCAGGCTGGCTTTGAACTGCAACCCTCAGATCTCAGCCTGCTGAGTAGCTAGGATTACAGCCATGAGCTACTGGTGCCTGGTTAAATTTTTAAAGGTATTTATTTTTTCAGACTTGGTGATTTTTTTTTTTTTGGGTCCGGTGGGGCCTGAACTCTGGGCCTGAGAGCTGTCCTTCAGCTTTTCAGCTCAAGGCTAGCACTCTACCACTTGAGCCACAGTGCCACTTCCAGCTTTTTCCTTTCTGCTTATGTGGTGCTGAGGAATCGAACCCAGAGCCTCATGCATGCAAAGCAAGCTCTTTACCACTGAACCACCTTCCCAGCCCCAAACTTGGTGATTTTTTTTTTTTGCTGGTTGTGGAGCTTGAACTCTGGGCCTGGGCACTGTCCTGAGCTCTTCAGCTCAAGGCTATCACTCTACCACTTGAGCCATAGCACCCACTTCCATCTTTTTCTGTGTATGTGGTGCTGAGGAATCAAACCCAGGGCCTCATGCATGCAAGGCAAGCACTCTACCCCTGAGCCACCTTCCCAGCCCCAAACTTGGTGATTTTTATATTGTAGTTGTGTTATCTTTTTTTCTGGGAGTGGGACTTAAACTCAGATCTTTTTGACTCTTAAGAAGCCAATCCCATGGGCTGGGAAGATGGCTCAGTGGTAGAGCGCTTGCCTTGCATGCCTGAGGTCCTGGGTTCGATTCCTCAGCACCACATAAGCAAAAAGAAAAAAGCCGGAAGTGGCGTTGTGGCTCAAGTGGTAGAGCGCTAGCCTTGAGCTGAAGAGCTGAGGGATAGCGCCCAGGCCCAGAGTTCAGGCCCCACGACTGGACCCAAAAAAAAAAAAAAAAAAGAAGAAGCCAATCCCACAGCAGTAAAATATTAGCTTCTTGCTCTAATATGCATAAATACAGAGCTTAAACAATGCAGAGATTAAAGATGATACTTTTTGGAAATGTGACAATCTTGATAAAAAGGTTTAAGAGTAGCCACATTTGAAACATACTTGCCTTTAAGGCTCATTATGTGACTTACTCTTTTTATTTATTTTTATTTTTTTTAATAGGTTCTCCTTGTATATAGCCCAAGCTGATCTCAAACTCACCATCCTCCTTCCTGTCCCTCATGAGTGCTGGGATTACAGAAGTGTTCTACCATGCCTGACTAGAAAATCAGATTTTGTGTGTTTTTGTTTCGTGGTGATAGGGATTGAACTCAGGGCCATTGGATATGCTAAGCAAAGGCTCTTTTTAAAAGTGTCAGAAAATTGTCCTAGAAAATTTTTGTTTGAGCCGGGTGTCAGTGGCTCACGCCTGTAATCCTAGCTATTTAGGAGGCTGAGATCTGAGGATCACGGTTCAAAGCCAGCCTGGGCAAGAAAGTCTGTGAGACCTTATTTCCAATTAACCACCAGAAAACTGGAAGTGGCATTGTGGCTCAAGTGGTAGAGCCCTAGCCTTGAGCTGAAGAGCTTAGGGACAGTGCCCAGACCCAGAGTTTAAGACCCACAACCGACAAAAAAAAGAAAAAGAAAATACTTTGTTTGAATACTGCTTTTAAATGTTTTCTACTCTGAGGTGTTTTGTGTGTGTGTGTGTGTGTTGGTTGTTTGGTTGTACCAGGGCTTGACATCAGGGCTTTGTGCTTGCTTAATTGGTCAGCACTCTACCACTTGAACTATACCTCCAGCCCAGCCTTTTGCTGGTTAGTTGGAGATTGAGTCTGTTGGACTTTTCTACCCAGGGTGGCAGAACCTCAGACTATATCCTCTTGAGTAGTGCTTGCCTTGCATGCATGAGGCCCTGGGTTTGATTTCTCAGCATCACATAAGCAGAAAAAGCCAGAAGAAGTGCTGAGTGGTAGAGTGGCTCAAGTGGTAGAGCATTTGCCTTGAGCTGAAGAGCTCAGGGACAGCACCCAGGCCCAGAGATCAGGCTCCAGGACAGATTAAAAAAAAAACAAAACAAAAAAAGTATCTTTATAGCTGGTAATTTTTCATAGGATACTTCATAAATGTCAAAATCAGAAATATTTCATTCTCTTTCTGGGCAACAATGGTTCATACCTATAATCCTATCCTACTCTAAAGGCTGAGATCTGGAAGATCTTGGTTTGAGGCTAGCCCTGTCAGAAAAATTTTATCTTTTAGATAAGCAGCAAAAAGCATGGCTGGAGGTATGGCTCAGGCGGTACAGCATCAGCCAAGCAAGCATCAGGCCCTGAGTTTAAATCCCAGTACCACTTTAATAAAAAGCAAAAAGAAATAACTCACTCTCCCTTTTGTTGAAGTCATGAAACTAATAAGCACATAATTAAAAAAATTCTTCGTAGATACTTGAAATTCAGACAACCAAGTGTCCAGACTGTATTTTGCCTTGCTTTAACAGTGACCTCAGTTCTTTGGTTTTAGGAAGAATCAATTTTCAGAGGTCCTAAGAAAAGCCTTGTGTGTCTTTTCTTAACAGTAAAACAAACACGATATGCAAGAAATGTGCTCAGAATGTGCAGCTTTATGGAACGGTAAGTAGGATTTCTCTGATCCTCACAGTGAGTACTTAGGTCTGTTGAAACTTTTATCTTCTCTGGGCTATCAGAACATTTTCATTAGAAGAACTGGTTATGTTAATGTTATTAGTGTTTCAGAGTTTGAATTTACTTGATACCAACAACTGTGGAGTTTCTGTGTGTGACTACAAAGTAACTACCAGAAAAATCATTTTTCTTGGGGCTGGGAAGGTGGCTCAGTGGTAGAGCGCTTGCCTTGCATGCCTGAGGCCCTGGGTTCGATTCCTCAGCACCACATAAGAAAAAAGCCGGAAGTGGTGCTGTGGCTCAAATGGTAGAGTGCTAGCCTTGAGCTGAAGAGCTGAGGGACAGCGCCTAGGCCCAGATGGGTTCAGGCCCCACGACCGGACCAAAAATAAATAAATAAATAATTTTTCTTGTGTGGCTTTGGAGACTGGCTTAGATGGGGGGAAAGATGGATCCAGAGAGTTGACTTCTTGGGTTAGTAACAGTTGACAATTGTCCCTCTCTTTTTTTCAGTCTTTTTTTTTTTTTTTGGGTCCGGTCGTGGGGCCTGAACTCTGGGTCTGGGCACTGTCCCTCTGCTCTTCAGCTCAAGGCTAGCGCTCTACCACTTGAGCCAAAACGCCACTTCCGGCTTTTTTCTTTTTGCTTATGTGGTGCTGAGGAATCGAACCCAGGGCCTCAGGCATGCAAGGCAAGTGCTCTACCACTGAGCCACCTTCCCAGCCCTTTATTGTCTTTTTATCACTGTCTTTAAGTAGTTGTATAGAAGAGTTGCCTTTTTTTTTTTTTTCTTTCTTTTTGTTGTTGTTGGTCCTGGGGCTTGAACTCAGGGGTGCTGTCCCTGAGTTTCTTTTGCTCAAGGCTAGTACATCTGAGACACAACTCCACTAGTAGCTTTTTTGGTAGTTTGGTGGAGATAAAATGTCTCACAGACTTTCCTGCCCAGGCAGGCTTTGAACAATGATCCTCAGATCTCAGCCACCTGAATAGCTAGGATTATAGACATGAGCCACTGGTGCCTGGCTTCAGCAATTGCCATTTAACAAAGCCATTTGTGAGCATAACATCTCTCTTGTTTTTTTTGGTTCCGGTCCTGGGCCTGAACTGTGGGCCTGGGTGCTGTCCCTCAGCTCTTCAGCTCAAAGCTAGCGCTCTACCACTTGAGCCACAGTGCCACTTCCGGCTTTTTTTTCCCTGCTTATGTGGTGCTGAGGAATCGAACCCAGGGCCTCATGCATGCAAGGCAAGAGCGCTACCACTGAGCCACCTTCCCAGCCTGCATAACATCTCTTGATCGTTCTCATTGGACAACTTTTTTTTTGTACCAATCCTGGCACTTGAACTCAGTGCCTGAATATTGTCCCTGAGCTTTTTTTGTTCTAGGCCAGTGTTCAACCACTTTTGAGCCACCGCCCCACTTCTGGCTTTTTAATGGTAATTTGGAGATAATTGGGCCACTTGGGCTAGCTTTGACCTGTGATCCTCAGGTCTCAGCCTCATGAGTAGGATTACAGGTGCGAGCCACCAGCGTCACGTGCAACAGTTCTCTTAATTTTAGGTCTAGTGATTTGAAAGCACCTGCTTATTTCTCCATAGCTCAGGTGCTGTTGAATTTCTCAGAAAAGTCTCATCGTACACACCAAGGCCTTTTGTTATTTGTTCATTTATTTATTTAAAAATCAGTAGTCCTTTTCAGAAAAGCACATTTTTTAGTGTTAAGAATTGGGCTCCAGGGCTGGGAAGGTGGCTCAGTGGTAGATCGCTTGCCTTGCATGCTCGAGGCCCTGGGTTCGATTCCTCAGCACCACATAAGCAAAAAGAAAAAAGCCGGAAGTGGCGCTGTGGCTCAAGTGGTAGAGCACTAGCCTTGAGCTGAAGAGCTGAGGGACAGCGCCCAGGCCCAGAGTTCAGGCCCCACGACCGGACCCAAAAAAAAAAACAAAAAAAAAACAGAATTGGGCTCCATTTGATCAATACAGAAACAAATTCATGATATTGGGAATACAGGAATACATTTTTTTCTTTGACTCATAAACTAGAAGGAATTACTGCTTTAAAGAATATTTTATAACATACTCCATTCTTCTTTTCTTCTCCTTTAAGCCCAAACCTTGTCAGTACTGCAACATAATTGCAGCATTTATTGGCAATAAATGCCAGCGCTGCACAAATTCAGAGAAGAAGTATGGACCACCATATTCTTGTGAACAGTGCAAGCAGCAGTGTGCGTTTGACAGGAAAGACGATAGAAAGAAGGTAAGGCTCTACATCTTTCTTGTTTTTCCTTTATGTGTGTGGGGGGTGGGAGGGGATGATGGGAAGGGGTTCTGAGATTTGAACTAGGTTTGAACTCAGGGCCTAGGTTCTGTCCCTGAGCTTTTGTCTCAAGATTATCACTTAGCCACAGCCCCACTTCTGTTTTGTTTTGTTTTTTGGCAGTTAATTGGAAATAAGAGTCTCACAGACTTTACTGTCTGGGGTGTCTGAGATCCTCAGATCTCATCCTCCTGAATAGCAAGGATTATAGGTGTGAGCCACTGGTGCCCAGCTTGTTTTTCCTTTTTAGATTATTTTTTAGATAGACTCTTGAGCTTTTCCTTGAGCTGGCCTGAATCACTATCTACTGCCACCCATCAAGCTAAAAACCACAGGTATGTACCACCATACCCAGCTTATTTGTTGAGCTGGGGGTCTCAATAACCTTTTGCTCATGGTAGCCTTAAATCACATAATCTTTCTAATCCAATCTTAGGGAAGAAATTAAGAGATGCTATTCTAGTAAATAAACTTTTAGGACTAGGAGCATTGCTGAAGTTTTAAGAAGGGACAAGATCTTGCGTTTAATCCCCAGTACTTAAAAAAACAACCAGAAAACACCTTAAGTAGAAGTAATCTTCTGAAAATTAAACTATCAAAAGCAAACTGTCAGCCAGGCATATAAAAAATTATCAGGCTGGGAATGTGGCTTTGTGGTAGAGTGCTTGCCTAGCATGCATGAAGCTCTAGGTTTAATTCCTCAGTACCACATAAACAGAAAAAGCCAGAAGCTGTGCTGTGGCTTTGAGCTAGAGTGGTAGAGTGCTAGCCTTAAGCAAAAGAAGCTCAGGGACAGTGCCCAGGCCCAGAATTTAAGCCCCAGGACTGGCAAAACAAAACAAACAAAAATTATCAGCCAACCTCATGAGGATCTCAGTTGAGAGCCAGCCTAGGCAGGAAAGTCCGTGAGATTGATATATGCAGTTAAACATTAAAAAGCCAGAAATGGAGCTCTAGCTCAAGAAGTAGCATGCTAGCCCTGTGCCTAGTCCCTAAGTTCAAACCCCAAGGACCAACACAAAAAAAACCCTATCATAGGTAGTACTGATTATCACCTATCAGATTTTATACTAACGAATTCATAAATGGAAACTCAATTTAAAAAGAAAAACATAGCTGGGCGCTGGTGGCTCACGCCTGTAATCCTAGCTACTCAGGAGGCTGAGATCTGAGGATCGTGGTTCAAAGCCAGCCCGGGCAGGAGAGACCGTGAGACTCCTATCTCCAATAAACCACCAGAAAACCGGAAGTGGCGCCGTAGCTCAAGTGGTAGAGCGCTCACCTTGAGCTGAAGAGCTGAGGGACAGCGCCCAGGCCCAGAGTTCAAGCCCCACGACCGACAAAAAAAAAAAAAAAGAAAAAAATATTTTTTGTGCAGGTCCTGGGGTGAATTCAGGGTCTAGATACTATCCCTGAATTTTTTTGCTCAAGTCTAGTACTCTATCCCTTGAGTCACAGCTCCGTTTAGCTTTTTGGTAGTTAATTGGACATAAAGGTCTAAGAGACTTTTCTGCCTGGGCTGGTTTCAAACCTGAGCTGGCTTTGATCTGTCATCCTCAAATCTGAATAGCTAGGATTATAGGCATGAGCCACGGTGCCCAGTCTTGCGTCTTGAACTCAGGGACTAGGCACTGTGCCTGAGCTTCTTTTGCTCAAGTCTAACATTCTACCACTTGAGCCATGGGCCACTTCTGGCTTCTTCTGTTTATATGGTACTGAGGAATCAAACTCAGCTTCATGCGTGCTAGTCAAGCACTCTATCACTAAGCCACATTCCCAACCCTCAGTCAACTTTTTTTTTTTTTTTTTGTCCGGTTGTGGGGCCTGAGTGGTGTCCCTCAGCTCTTCAGCTCAAGGCTAGCATTCTACCACTTGAGCCACAGCGCCACTTCTGGCTTTTTTTTTTCTGCTTATGTGGTGCTGAGGAATCGAACCCAGGGCCTCAAGCATGTAAGGCGAGCACTCTACCACTGAGCCAATCTTCTGAGCCCTCAGTTAACTTTTTTAATAACACCAAAGTCTGATTACCCCATTTATAGATAAAGAGACTAAGGAATTGGTAGATTAACTTGCTCAAAATCACCCAGGAAATAAATGATAGAACCAAGATTTCAACTCATAACATTCTGAGTCTAGATCACCCATTCTTTTTTTTTTTTTTGGGTCGGTTGTGGGGCTTGAACTCTGGGCCTGAGCGCTGTCCCTTCGCTCTTCAGCTCAAGGCTAGCACTCTACCACTTGAGCCACAGCACCACTTCCAGTTTTCTGGCGGTTTATTGGAGATAAGAGTTTCACAGACTTTCCTGCCCAGGCTGACTTTGAACAGTGATCCTTAGATCTCAGCCTCCTGAGCAGCTAGGATTACAGGCATGAGCCACTGGTGCCCGTCTTAGTTCACCCATTCTTTCTTTTCTATCTCATTAAATCTTTCAAAGTCTCTAGAAAATAGCTACTGTTAATCTCACTGGGGGAAAAATTGATTCATGATGAGAAAACTTGTCCAAAATCATTCATCTAGATCCAGGAGTGGTATTAGACTGGGGCCTGGGGACTGCAAAGCTTGAGTGATCTGCTAGATGTGGATAACATACTATTGTAAGTTAGCTCCTGATTACTAATTCAGCTTCTCCAGTATCTTGACTCAGAGTAGGTGCCCTAGTTGGGAGGAAGAGTACTCTGGTCACTGGGAAAATAAACCCTTCCATTGTAAGTTAATGAATTTGGTTAGTACAGCCCTTAACAGCTGAAGTACTGGGGCTGGGAAGGTGGCTCAGTGGTAGAGTGCTTGCCTCACATGCATGAGGCCCTGGGTTCAATTCCTCAGCATCACATAAATAGAAAAAGCTGGAAGTGGTGCTGTGGCTCAAGTGGTAGAGTGCAAGCCTTAAGCTGAAGAGCCGAGGGACAGTGCCCAGGCATAGTGTTCAGGCCCCACGACTGACAAAAAAAAAAAAGCAGAAGTACTGAAAAAGAGCTATATTACTAGTTTTCTCTTCTGTGGTAAATATTTATTGAGCAACTACTACTTGTCTGGCCACTGGAAATACTGCAGAGAACAAGCTTAAAAGATGAGCTCACATTCCCAGGGGAGTGGACAAACATGTAATACACAAGAGAATCTTTTACAGTGTTACCTGTTATGAGAACAAAATAGAGTTTGAATTAACACTATAGTGATTAGAAGCTCTGGAGGGCAAAGATTCTAGGATGAGGGGCCAGCCTTGCAAAGATCCTGAGGCAGGAATGAACTTGGCACAGGGGAAGAACAGGAAGAAGGCAGATAAAACAAAGGGAGGAGAAAGGAAAGATGATTGTAGAAGTTGGCCAGGGCTACATTGAGGGTCACACAGGCAAAAAGTCTGTGTTTTATACTAGATACGATCAGAAAACCTTGGGTTTTTAGGAGAGTAGATACAGTTGGATTTACATTGAAGAAGCCCTGTTAGGCTGCTGTGTTCAACTTTTTAAGGCCCCATGCTAGGAAATGGGGTAATCATCTGGGCAGTGTTTGCAGGAGATGAGAATGGCTTTATGAGGATGGAAGTAGTACAATTAGAGGAAATGGATAGAGAAAGTCACACAGATGGACTTGCTGACAGGTGGGAGTATGGGGAGCAAAAGAAGGTTTTGCTGACAAGACAAGAGGCCAGCTGTGCTAGTGCATGCATAATCCTAGCTACTTAGGAGGTAGAGCTTAGAGGATCACAGTTTGAGGCTAGCCCAGGCAAAAGTTACTGAGATTTTTATCTTAGAAATACCTTGGTGGTATGGTGGCGTGTACTTGTAATCCAAACTACTTGAGAGTTGGAGGGAGGAGGCTTATGATCTGAAGTTAAAGCATGAGACTGTATCTGAAAAACCACCTAAAGCAAAAAGGATTGTGGGGGTATGGTGGAAGTGGTAGTGCCTAGAACGTGTGAAGCCTTAAGTGTGAATCCCTAGTACTGCCCAAAACAAAGCAAAAATGTTTTAGATAATGATATGATTAAGCTATGTTCAAGATAGTACACAAGGGCTGGGGCCCTGTTCAAATATTAAAATACTTGGCTTGAATATTCAAGGCCGATGTTTAATCCCTAGGAAAAAATAAAAGATGGAGCACAATATCCAATATGAAGAATAGGATGTACATAAAGTATCAACACAATCCCCACTCCCCAATCCAAGTAATTTAGCCAGTCCTTCCTCCCCACCATCACTTGGACTGCCTGCAAATGGTTTTACAGTCTTGATTGCTGCAGGAAGGCAAATCTATATTAAAAAATAATTAACCCTGACTAGTGAGGAGTACTATGGAAGAAAAAGGGATGAGGGGCTAATTCGGAGGGTTGTAGAAACCTTGTGCCCTGCTCCCTCGCTCATAGCTGTATCTTTCTAAAGGAATTGGCTTTATCTACTTAAAACTATACCATGCTAGGTCATCAGCAGGGACAGGGTCCTAGCAGCTGCTTGTCTGTTTGTCTTAACTTGGGGCATTCTTTCCAACAAACCATTTTGTGAGACATACAGAAGTTATTAAACAAGTATGGAAGGATTTGGGGATATAAGACTTAAGCTAGGAAGTATAAATTCAAGGGATCTATTGTGCAACATGGTGACTTATTAACTGTATATCATATTCTTTTGTTTGTTGGAATAGGGCTAGGCTGTCCTCAAACTTAGTGTTCTTGTCTCAGCCTCCTATGTGTGTACCACCATTCCCGTTCAATGTATTATTTTTTTTTCTGCCATTATAGTTATGTAGTACTATGCCCAGCTCAATGTATTGTATTCTTGAGAATTATCAGAGAGTAGATATTATTTTCCATCAGTACTCAGGTTTGAACTCTGGGCCTATGCTTGCTAGTCAGGTGGTCTTATCAGTTGAGCCAGATAAGAGTAGATTTTAAATGTTGTTTTTTAATGTGTATATATATGTACATGTATGTATGTATATATGTATATGTATGTGTGTGTGTGTGTATATATATTGTGTGTGTGTGTATATATATATATATATATATATAGTTGTTAAGATACTGTACAGAAGGGTTACAGTTACATGAGCAAGGTAATGAGTCCATTTCTTATCAAGCGTTACCCCCTCCTTTGTTTTTCCCCTACCATCCCTTTCCTCCCCACCTCCCCATCTCCTCCCTCCCCACCCCCAAAGTTGTAAAGTTCATTTTCAACATAGGGTCTTGTACATTAAATTTTCTTAATACACACACACACAAAAGTAAGATGCTGCCTATTTATTTTGTCTTTTCCTTCTGAGTTTTCCTTAATGAGCAAGCACCATGGAGATATTTGTACCTTTTGAAATCCTTATGGGAACTTTGTTCTTATCTGATCGCTAAGTCGGAAAAACAAAAAGATAAATTACTATGTTTGTTTCTTCATTTTCTCCTTTTTTAGTACTACTGGGGTTTGAACTCAGCCTCTGCCTGCTAGGCAAGCACATGTTCAACCCCAAGACTGTATTAAACAGTGTTTGTGTGCCTAAGTCTAGGGCTTTCTGTACATTATGACACTACATCCTTTGAGCAGACCCCATAACTTGGCTGGGGTTACACAGCTCACAAGTGGCCGATCTAGAACCTGAGTTCTCCCAGTGCTCATGTCCTCAGCCACTACCCTCCATTTCCTTCTCTTTACTCTCTCTCTGGTCTTGCAGGTAGATGGGAAATTGCTGTGCTGGCTGTGCACACTTTCATACAAACGTGTCCTGCAGAAGACCAAAGAGCAGAGGAAACACCTGAGCAGCTCTTCTCGTAGCAGCCATCAGGAGAAGGAGCAGTACAGCCGCCTGAGTGGTGGCAGCCACTACAACAGGTGATCCCAGTGCCCGGCTCCCCACACTAGCAGTACTGGAAGATACATCTCATAGAAGCTTCCCTTTTTTCTCTCTAGTTACTAGTTTGTGGGAAGTATCTAGCTTACCCTATTTTATAATTTCTGTATATCCCTTAGGACCAGGGAGATTTCATTGAGGTGTTGGGATTTCCTGGCACTGTATTGGGTCTTAAAGTTCCATGGAACTGCCAGGCACTGGTGGCTCACTCCTATAATCCTTAGGTTCTCAGGAGGCTGAGGTCGAGGATCACAGTTCCAAGCTGGCTCAAGAAGGAAAGTCCATGAGACTCTTTATCTCTAATTAACCACCAAAAACCAGAAGTAGAACTGTAGCTCAAGTGGTAGAATGCTAGCCTTGAGCAAAAAGTTACTTCATTTGTTTTCTCAGCATTAGTGAGGGTATTTCTCCAGGACATTTCCCTTTCCAGGGAGTGCATTTTTTTTGTTGTTGTTTTCATTTGTTTTTTTTTTTTTTGGTCTTGGGACCTGAACTCTGGGCCTGGGTGCTGTCCCTCAGCTCTACAGCTCAAGGCTAGTACTCTACCACTTGAGCTACAGTGCCCACTTGCAGCTTTTTTTGCTTATGTGGTGCTGAGGAATTGAACCCAGGGCTTCATGCATGCAAGGCAAGCGCTGTACCACTGAGCCAACTTCCCAGCCCACTGTGCAATTTTTTATGTGTATTTAGTCAGGAATTTGATAGATGTTCTAGTGCGGAATACTTTGCCAGTGTGGGATCCACTCAGAAGATAACCCTTAGGCTCACATCACATTTAATCCTGGTCCTGCCAAATTCTCTGTGGGAATCTTGGACAATTTTTTTCCCCTTCTGTAAATAGGAAAATAATAATTGTATTACCTCATGGGGCTGTTGTGAAGATAAATTACATAGTACATGCATAGCAATTACTTTTGTAACTGCCACGTAGAAAGTACTCAGCACATTTTAGTTATTTTTTGACATTATTTCCAGTGTGGATTTGTTTATTCAGTAAACATTAAGTGCTTTTATGAGCCAGGGACTCTGCTGGGAATACAGAGATGAATAAAAGAGTCATGCCACTCTCCAAGACTGTGCCGTCTGGTAGAGAAGACAGAATTGCAGTGTAATACAGCAAGCCCCACAGTGGAAATGTGTCAAGATTCAGGCATGAGAGACAGTAGTAATTAACTGCCTGGGAAGTCAGGTAAGGGAGGCTTACAGGAGAGCTGGTGTGTAACTATCTTGGAAGAATTGGAATCATCAAATGAAGACTGGGCAGGGGCACCCTAGCCTGAGGGAATGGCATTTGCATGAGTCTACACAGAACCTGGGAGAATTCTAAGTCCTTTTACACTGCTGGAGCTTGTGATTGGAAGCTGGGGAAAGGGAGGAAAGGGTCCAGACCTGCCCAGCAATGTGAACTTCATCCTGGGGTTAGTGCAAAGCCACTAAAGGGATGGGGTCTGTATGAGGAAAGGACCAAATCTGTATTAAAAATAATTACTCCTGATGAGTAGGGAGTACATTGGAAGGAAAAGGGGTGAGGGGCTTTTTTGGAGCTCAGTGCTGGTGGCTTGCGCCTATAATCCTAGCTACTTTGGAGGCTGAAAATAGGAGAACTGTAGAAAAGTTCAAGAGGGCCCTTGAACTTTTTGAAATAGCAGAGTGTAACAACATGTGCCTGTCATCATGGCTATGTGGGAGGCTGAAGCTGGGAAGATCTTGTATTCAGGTCAGTCCAGACAGAAAGAAAAGTCCTCAAGACTCCCTGTCAATAAAGGGAAGCCAGATATGGCACTCACCTGTCATCCCAAAAATAATTGGGAGCTTAAAATATGTGGATTGTGGTCCAAGTACATGCCTAACAGGCAGTGAGACCCTCTATTTCAAAAATAGGGCCTGGGTTGGAGGTGTGGCTCAGTTGGCAGAATGCTAGCTGACGAGTGAAAGCATGAGGTACTGAGTTTGAGTCCCAATCTCAGACCTAAAAAAAAATGGCAAAACAGGGCTGGAGGCAAGCAAGCAGAAGCCCTGAGTTTAAACTCTAGCACTACAAAAAAAGAAGAAAATTATTTGGGGGGATGTTGCTTGGGTGGTAGAGTCCCTGGCATTTCTGATGCTCTGAGTTTGGTCCCAGCACCTCTGAGTAAGTAAATAAATAGCTCTTGTGTTTCTTCCCATAGGGGAAAAAAGAGAAATTCAATTTCAAAAGTTGAGTTTGAGCTACTAAGAAGAGTTTTATTAGTCTTAAAACTCAGAAGAGAGGCCGGGCACCAGTGGCTCACGCCTGTAATCCTAGCCACTCAGGAGGCTGAGATCTGAGGATTGCACTTCAAAGCCAGCCTGGGCAGGAAAGTCTGTGAAACTCTTATCTCTAATAAACCACCAGAAAACCGGAAGTGGCGCTGTAGCACAAGTGGTAGAGTGCTAGCCTTGAGCTGAAGAGCTGAGGGACAGTGCTCAGGCCCAGAGTTCAAGCCCCATGACCGACAAAAAGAAAAAAAGGGACTGGGAAGGTGGCTCAGTGGTAGAGTGCTTGCCTTACATGTATGAGGCCCTGGGTTCAATTCCTCAGCACCACATAAGGAGAAAAAGCCAGAAGTGGCACTGTGGCTCAAGTGGTAGAGTGCTGGCCTTGAGCTGAACAGCTGAGGGACAGTGCCCAGGCCTAGTGTTCAATCCCCACAACCGGAAAAAAAATTTTTTTTTTTTAAAGTATGAATTCTGGGCTGGGAAGGTGGTAGAGCGCTTGCCTTGTATGCCTGAGGCCCTGGGTTCTATTCCCCAGCACCACATAAGCAAAAAGAAAGCCAGAAGTGGTGCTGTGGCTCAAGTGGTAGAGCGCTAGCCTTGAGCTGAAGAGCTGAAGGACAGCGCCTAGGCTCAGAGTTCAGGCCCCACAACTGGACCCCCCAAAAAAAAGTATGAATTCCTATAGCCCCACCCCAAAGTTTAATTCAGGCACATGGGCCTGGGCAGGAAGTAATACCCTATCTCAGAAAATAGCCAATGTAGGGCTGGGAAGGTGGTTCAGTGGTAGAGGGCTTGCCTTGCATGCCTGAGGCCCTGGGTTTGATTCCTTAGCACCACATAAGCAAAAAGAAAAAAGCCGGAAGTGGCGCTGTGGTTCAAGTGGTAGAGTGCTAGCCTTGAGCTGAAGAGCTGAGGGACAGTGCCCAGGCCAGAGTTCAGGCCCCACACGACCAGACCCCCCCCAAAAAAAGAAAATAGCCAGTGTACATATGGCTGGAGGCATAGCTTGGTGATAAAGTGCTTGTCTAGCAATCACTGGATCCTGAGTTCAAACCCCAGTAATGCCCAAAATTTATATATATCAAGGATAGGCTTTCAGGTTTCTTTTTTTTTTTTTCTTAACCTATATTGCTGTTTAATATAAAGTGTAGGTCAAATTATATCACGGCTCATCAAATATAAAAATCAGGTTTTGTTTTAAGATCAGTTTTGGGTGAGCTTCCTGAGGCTGACACTGGTTTTGGTTTTTGTGTGTGTGTGTGGGACTGCTATACTAGTAGGTTCCTAAGTACAGGGAGGAAGACCAAGAGTTCAAGTACATCAACCTGGTTTCTAGTCATAGCTTTACTACTAGCTGTGTTCAGTTTCTACAAAGTAGGAATAATCCAGAACCCTAAGATGCATGTGGGACAGTGATTGTAATGTTTAGGTGCTTTTAAAAGTAAAGACAAAGCCAGGTGCCCGTTGGCTCACGGCCTATAATCTTAGCTACTCAGGAAGCTGAGATCTGAGGATTGTGGTTCTAATCCAGCTCCAGGAAGGAAAGTCAGTGAGACTCTTATCTCCAATAAACTACCAGAAAACCGGAAGTGGCTCAAGTGGTAGAGCCTTCACCTTGAGCTGAAGAGCTGAGGGACAGTACCCAGGCCCAGAGTTGAAGCCCCATGACCAACGGAAAAAAGAAAAAGACACCAGTAATCCTAGCTGCTCAAGAGGCTGAGATCTGAGGATCTCAGTTCAAAGCCAGCCTGGGCAGGAAAGTCCGTGAGACTCTTATCTCCAAGTAACCACCAGAAAACTGGGAGTGGTGCTGTGACTCAAGTGGTAGAGTGCTAGCCTTGAGCTGAAGAGCTGAGGGACAGTGCCCAGGTCCAGAGTTCAAGCCCCATGACTGACAAAAAAAAAAGAAAAGAAAAAAGATAGATTATACCAACTATTGAAGTCTTACCAGTCCTGTTTTCATGGTTATTAATATAATATTTTAGGCTGATGATGTTTTTGGTCCTATGAAGACAAACTACCCATGCATCCAGTATCTATTAAATAATCAAAACTAATAACCTCTTAGACAGAAGAGCTCCTGTCTTCCAGGGGTCTATTTGACAGACTTTCATTGTGCTGTTTTCTTAATCTTTGATTTCTAATGTGTGTCTCTCTATTTTTGCCATTAAAAGCCAGAAAACACTTTCTACATCTTCAATTCAAAATGAAATCCCAAAGAAAAAATCCAAGTTTGAGTCAATCACAGCTAATGGAGACAGGTGAGCCAGTTGGAATATGTGCGCATACACATTGCAATGCATATACAATTCTTGAAACAGGAGTTCTGTTTAGGGTGTGCTGGAAGCTAGCCTGTAGCTGTCATGAGCCTTTTGTTGGTGCTGCTCTACCAACTTGATGGCTGATGTATATAAGCAGTACCAGTATCTGTTTTATCAATTGAGGCTTGTCTTTAAGCCATAAGAAATTGTTGGATTTAATAGTAGTTCAATTCTGAAGTCCTAAGTAATTCTCCTATCCTGAGTCTAAGTCAAGTGCTGAACACTTACTTCATGGTGATACTTCCCTGTGGTTGCCTCCAAGCAGGGCATGGATTGGTTTGGAGGGGCTGAGCTGAGCTGAGATGGGGTTGAAGGAGTGTTGCTCTATGTGTGAGGATTATTCCAGAGTTTGCAGCCTTTGGAAAATCAGCCCAGTGCAGATGATGGATCAGGAGAGAATGAGATGCACTTGAGTATTTTTGTTCCATTTAAATGTTCCTGTAGTAGAACATTCCTGTCACTTGCATTTCTAAATATTTGTAGCACAAGATTATATTTTGCTGCCCATTTTACTTTTTGAGAGTTCTTCTCTGCTTGTAATGCATTTTGAAAAAAGCATTCTGACAATGCTGTGATTTTTTTTTTTTTTTTGGCAGCCTTTTACTCTAATCCTATATACCTGAGGTACACATGTTAACATATTATACTAAGCTTAATTAGTCTGTGTGTGTGTGGTCACACACTAGTCCTGGGGCTTGAACCCAGGGCCTACGCACTGTCCCTGAGATTTTTGTTCAAGGCTGACACTCTACCACTTTTGAGTTTTTTGGTGGTTAACTGGTGATGAGTCTCTTGTACTTCCTGCCCCTGCCTGGGCTCATTTTGAGCCTCAGTCTTCAGATCTCAGCCTCCTGAGTAGCTGGGATTACAGATGTGAGCCACAGGTGCCTGACTTGTAGTCTTGTATCTGAAATATTTATTGTAGCCTCCCTCACTAAATCCTCATAGGATTTTGGGAGGGAGGGAGGGACGGTGTGTGTGTGTGTGTGTGTGTGTGTGTGTGTGTCTGTGTGTGTGTGTCTGTGTGTGTCTGTGTGTGTGTCTGTGTGTGTCTGTCTGTGTGTGTGTCTGTGTGTGTGTGTGTCTGTGTGTGTGTGTCTGTGTAGTGGGGCTTGAACTAAGGATCTCATACTTTTTTTTTCTTTGTCCTTTTTTGTTGTTGTTGTTGTTGGTCATGGGGCTTGAACTCTGGGCCTGAGCGCTGTCCCTCAGCTCTTCAGCTCAAGGCTAGTGCTCTACTTGAGCTACAACGCCACTTCCAAGATCTCATACTCTTGCTTAACTTTTCTGTCAAGCTGATACTGCCATTTGATCCACAACTCCACTTCTGTTTTTTTGCTGATTAAGTGAAGATAAGAGTTGCTTACTGGTGCTGGTGGTTCACGCCTGTAAGCCTAGCTGCTCAGGAGACTGAGATCGTAGGATTGTGGCTCAAAGCCAGGCCAGGCCTGCCTAATCTGTGTGACTTAAATCTATGCTTTTTTAACTCCAGATTTTTTCCCCATGTATTCCATAACTTTTTCATCAGTCTTTCCGAACTATCCCATTCCCTTCTCATTAGCAGAGAGGCATATGATTATTTCTTCTCCCTTATTCTTTATCCATTAGTCTTCCTTATCGTAGACAAAATACATTATCTTAGCTTTCTCTAATGTTTTATTATCTATAAAATAACTTAGTCTTTTGCATTTTCATATTCTACAGAGTCCTTCACCTACCTCTCAATGATTTCTAATTTGTTGAAATTATAACAAAAACTTTTCAATTTGAAGGAAGTGGGAGTTAGGTGTGGTTTTCATTCCTTGAGAAAATGAACCAGCTACTTTCTTTTCTTTTTTCTTTTTTTTTTTTTGGGGGGGGGGTCCAGTCGTGGGGCCTGAACTCTGGGCCTGGGTGCTGTCCCTCAGCTCTTCAGCTCAAGGCTAGCGTCTACCACTTGAGCCATAGCGCCACTTCCGGCTTTTTTCTTTTTGCTTATGTGGTGCTGGGGAATAGAACCCAGGGCCTCAGGCATGCAAGGCAAGCGTTCTACCACTGAGCCAACTTCCCAGCCCCTACTTTTTTTTTTTTTTGGGTCCAGTCGTGGGGTCTGAACTCTGGGCCTGGGTGCTGTCCCTCAGCTGTTCAGCTCAAGGCTAGCACTCTACCACTTGAGCCACAGCGCCACTTCTGGCTTTTTATTCTTTTTGCTTATGTGGTGCTGAGGAATCGAACCCAGGGCCTCATGCATGCAAGGCAAGTACTCTACCACTGAGCCACCTTCCCAGCCCACTTTTTTTTCTTTATTGAGATCGATTACCTAAATTTCACAAAATTCACAGTATTGTGGGATAGTGATACTTAGTTAAGGTCACAAACACCTTCATCCTTCACGAGGCACATTTTCATTATCATTGTAACATCTACTTTTTTGTTGTTGTTGTTGGTTGTAGGGCTTGAACTCTGGGCCCTGGGTGCTGTCCCTGAGTTCTTCAGCTCAAGGCTAGCACTCTACCACTTGAGCCACAGTGCCACTTCCGGTTCTCTGGTGGTTTATGGACTTTCCTGCCGGGGCTGGCTTTGAACTGTGATCCTCAGATCTCAGCCTCCTTAGTAACTAGAATTACAGGCTGAGCCACCGGCGCCTTGCCCAGCTACTTTTTAGTGACAGTTGTTTATTTTTTCTATTGGCAGTATACAAGCAGTCTCAACAGTGAGCAGCACTCATCATACTTGTGGCTTGTCATTTCTTTTCTTTTTTTTTTTTTTTTTAATTTATTTATTTTTGTTGGTCATGGGGCCTGAACTCTGGGCCTGGGTGCTATCCCTCAGGTCTTCAGCTCAAGGCTAGCACTCTACCATGTTAGCCACAACTTTTTCTGAGCCACTTCTAGCTTTTTCTGCTTATGTGGTGCTGAGGAATCGAACCCAAGTCCTCATGCATGCAAGGCAAGCACTCTGCCACTGAGCTCCTTTCCCAGCCCCATGGCTTGTCATTTTTTTTTTTTTGTCAAGGTATTTAACAATATAAAGAATTCACATTTCTTCTTTCCCACCTTTTTCAAAGATTCAATAGTAGAAACACCCAAATGCTGCTACAACACAGAAGAAACTATCATTCATGAAAACATCAGAATGTAGTGGTCAGTGTCAGCATCCCAGAAACACGGGGCAGCCATGAACACTCCTTCACCTCTTTGCTCCCCAATGAGTACTTGCACTACCATTTTCTATCAATCAAATCCCATTTCTTTTAATTTGTCTTTAACGGTTTCTAATAAATGTTTTATGAGCTGAGGCATTTCTTCTGATACAGACTTTAAACACAGAGGGCCTGAACCTTTGCTGGAAAATGGGCCTCAGGATATATGTGTTCTTGGACTCCCCTGCATTCTTCTCAGCCTCCAGTGCCCCGTTGCTCAGAAAGAGGGATGCTCCCACAATGAAGGACAGGCAACTTACCAGGATGCTGAGCCAGGTGCACACCCTTTCTAAAGGACCCACTTTTCCATGTAGCTTCATTTATTCTCCTGACCTGTTTTCCTGAGTACAGAAGATTGTTCTTAAATTAACAGCTTTTTACAGAAAGTTACATTAACAAAATGTTTCCCAGGAAAAGAAGTTCACTATCATTGGGGGTATTTTGAAAGAGACTTTTCTACCTTACTAACCTAGCTGTCTTTTTTTATTTCTAACAGTTGTTACTGAACTAGGAGTTAAGACCCAGAGAGATTAGGTTCTAATACAAGATAGAACTGTTTTTGTCAACCATTCATTAGTACAAAAAGACTCTTCTCTCAAGAAGCAGGTGTAGCAGAGCATTTGCTCTTTGGCAGTGGAAAATCATATACTGTCTCATTCCTCTTGCTTCATTCATTGCTGTAGTTATGGGTTTAAATAAGATTTAGGTTGAGTGGGGTGCCTGTGGCTCATGCCTGGAATCCGAGCTACTCAGGAGGCTGAGATCTGAGAATCATGGTTCAAAGTCAGCAGGAGGGAGAGGCAGGTGGCAATAATCTTGTCAATGGATCATGTCTTCCAATTCTAGCTATAGAAAAGTTTGCATTGGCAGTTATGAAGTACTATGTCCAGGATCAGGCTGCTCTTTGGGGTTTCTTCCTGTGTAGAGAAATGGGTGATTATGAGATGTGGTTTAAGATAGAGGAAAAAAATCCAACCACAGGAAGAACCACAGGGTGTTGTTCTGTTGACACAGGGACACTCAAGTCTCCCTAAGGCTTTCCTAAGCCTTAGGAAAAGGATGTAGGTTTATTGTTTTGCTTTAGATTGTTCTGAAAGCCACTCAACTACTTTGTTGTTTCCCACAGTCTATTTCCTTTGAGAATTTCCTTTTGAATTTGCATTTGCTCTGCCTCAATAAAGTCTTACTCTGGTAAAATTCAGAAAGAAACCGCTCTTCTGAAAGAAAAAAGGCTTCCTTTGGGGATTCTCTAGAGAACTAGCAGTGATCCCTTGTTTTGGGTCTGAGGTACCTCTAACCAATTTCTGAAAGCTATGGGTCCTCACTGGTTAAACTGTTCATTGTATGTGAAAACACATTTTTTTGGTATAATCTCTGGACTTTGCTGAAAGGACACAGATTCCATCTGGTAACTTGGACAAAATGGAGTGCTCAGGTGCTATACCGACTGTTGGAAACCCTAGTTGTGGGGTGTTTTTGAAGTCTGCCCCTTTTTGTTCCTGTCCTGTCACATAATTCTTTTTTTGCTTTCTATGAGATAGGATAGTACTATGGCTCAGCCTAGCCTAGAGCTCACTATATATACCAGGCTGGCCTCAGACTCATAATCCTCCTGCCTTCATCTCCTGAATGCTGAGATTACAGGTGTGTGTCGTGCCCAGGTGATAAAATTCTTGACAATGGAAATGACAGTCAAGTGTAGCATAAGTGAAGCTGGTTTCCTTCCCCATAAGCCTCATCTTTGTAGAAAAGGGACTGGCTGTACCTCATCATAGGGCAGAATTTCTATGCTTACAACTGAGGATTATCCAGAATTCTTGAATTCTAAGGAAGTTAATCACAGCCGTGGCTTTTTCACCAGTAAAACATGAGGATTTTTTTTTTTTTTTTGTCAGTCATGGGGCTTGAACTCTGGGCCTGGGCGCAATCCCTCAGCTCTTCAGCTGAAGGCGAGCACTCTACCACTTGAGCTACAGCGCCACTTCCGGTTTTCTGGTGGTTTATTGGAGATAGGAGTCTCACGGTCTTTCCTGCCCAGGCTGGCTTTGAACCGCGATCCTCAGATCTCAGCCTCCTGAGTAGCTAGGATTACAGGCGTGAGCCACCAGCGCCTGGCTAAACATGAGGATTTTAAATGGGATATGGTATCTATTTTAGTAGTAAATGTGAGAAAAAGTGCTGCCAGGTTGTGGTTTGTTTTGATATCGTTTTCTGACTTCCACCTTCTTGGTGCAGTTTGAGTTCAGCAAATACTGTTGAGCTTTGTGAGGATGGACCAACATGCTTGATGCTGGGAATTCAAATAGTTTACTGGGGTCCTTAAAGAGTTTGAGTCACATGGTCTGCAATACATCCTCAAGTAGAGAAAATTTATCCATTTAAGTTACGATTTTTTTTTTCCTCTTCCATTTTCTTGCTCAGCTTTTCTCCGGACCTGGCCCTGGACTCACCAGGCACTGACCACTTTGTCATCATTGCCCAGCTGAAGGAAGAGGTGGCAACTCTGAAGAAGATGTTACATCAGAAGGATCAAATGATCTTAGAGAAGGAGAAGAAGGTATGGCTAGAAAGATCCAAGGTTACAATCACATAGTCTGGGACAGGATGGTAACAGTTTTACATGTTTGATCTGGTTGGATACATTGATGTTTTCAGAGATTCTCATAGCCATGTGATTCATGGGATGGCATTACCTTGCTCAGTCCCCCTAGGCCAAGACTTACCTTCCTACGGTCTAAGAATTGTCCTCCCTCTTGAAGGGAACTTCTTACATTTTTATTCTAATTCATGTTTATTATTTCTGCTTTACTTTCAGCTTCTCAGAATATCTCATTTTGTCTTTTTTTTTTTTTTTGTCGGTCATGGGGCTTGACCTCTGAGCCTGGGCGCTGTCCCTCTGCTCTTAAGCTCAAGGCAAGTGCTCTACCACTTGAGCCACAGGTTAATTGGAGGTAAGAGTCTCATGGACTTTCCTGCCTGGGGTGGCTTTGAACCGAGATCCTCAGATCTCAGCCTCCTGAGTAGCTAGGATTACAGGCATGAGCCACCCACCAGCGCCTGGCAATTTCTTTTTTGATGTGAGGTCTCTTTGTATTGCTTAGGCTGACTTCGGCCTCCTGGGTTCAAGCAGTCCTCCTGCTCCAGCCTCCTGAGGGCTGGGAGTGTGCAAATCCACACAATCGCACCCCATTTGTAATGTCATTATTTACATTCTTGTCATTTAATTCCTACCTTGTTTACAGATGAAGAAACAGGCCATAAGAGGTTAAATAGTGTGTCTAACCAACTTAGCAGTAAAAGACAGAACAAGAACTGGACCCAAGTCTTTCTATGCCTGTTATTCTTTCTTTACTGTGTTCAGCTTTAGCTTGCTAGTAAGCAGAAATTCGTAGGAACACGCATATTCCATCCACTTTATTGTGTGACTGACAGATGAAAATGGACCCAAGTATATTCTCTTCATGGACCTGATCAGAATGACACTTCTATTACTTTGAACTAAGGCTTTGAACAAAGCCAGCCTAAAAAGCTGTTGTGTCCTATACTTTGTTTTTTTGGGTTCGGTCATGGGGCCTGAACTCTGGGCATGGGCTCTGTCCCTCAGTTCTTCAGCTCAAGGCTAGCGCTCTACTACTTGAGCCACAGTGCCACTTCCAGCTTTTTTCTTTTTGCTTATGTGGTGCTGAGGAATGGAACCCAGGGCCTCTGGCATGCAAGGCAAGCGCTCTACCACTGAGCCACCTTCCCAGCCCCTGTTGTGTCCTATACTTTTTTTTTTTTTTTTTTGTCTCGGTCGTGGGGCTTGAACTCTGGGCCTGGGCGCTGTCCTTCAGCTCTTCAGCTCAAGACAAGCACGCTACCACTTGAGCTACAGCACCACTTCCGGTTTTCTGGTGGTTTATTGGAGATAGGAGTCTCACAGTCTTTCCTGCCCGGGCTGGCTTTGAACCGTGATCCTCAGATCTCAGCCTCCTGAGTAGCTAGGATTACAGGCGTAAGCCACCAGTGCCCGGCGTGTCCTATACTTTTAAAGACTAAGGTCACACTTCCTGATATGAGACATCTTGATTTGATAGGCATCCTGGCTTCCTATCTCTAGTCAGATAATCTTGGTTAACTTCCATCTCTCTGCCTATGCCCAGATTGTTCCCTTCATTCAGATGCCTTATATGCCCTCCTGCTACTGTACCTCAAAACTCAGATCACACATCACCTCTCTCAGTAGAGGTCCCTCCTTTCTGTTCCTTGGATAGCAAGCAGTTGAAATGAGCCTTGAATTTGAAATCTAGCTCTGATATTTGTTAACCTTGTGGATACTTGCTCTCTGCCACTTAACCTTTTCTAAACCTCTGTTTTTCCATCTATGAAACAGGTCTACTGCCCTTAAAGGGTTGTCTTAAAGATTGAACTAAAAATCTGAGCACTGGTGGCTCACATGTGTAATCTGAGCCACTCTGATTACAGCCCCGGCAGGGAAGTCTTTTTTTTTTTTTTTTTCTTTTGGGTCCGGTCATGGGGCCTGAACTCTGGGCCTGGGCGCTGTCCCTAAGCTCTTCAGCTCAAGGCTAGCGCTCTACCACTTGAGCCACAATGCCACTTCCAGCTTTTTTCTTTTTGCTTATGTGGTGCTGAGGAATCGAACCCAGGGCCTCAGGCATGCAAGGCAAGCGCTCTACCACTGAGCCATCTTCCCAGCCCCAGGGAAGTCTTATGAGACTATTTTTTTGTTGGTCATGGGGCTTGAACTCTGGGCCTGGGTGCTGTCCCTCAGCAATTTATATCAAGGCTAGCGCTCTACCACTTGAGCCACAGCACCACTTCTGGTTTTCTAGTAGTTTATTAGAGATAAGAGTCTCACGAACTTTCCTGCCTGGGCTGGCTTTGAACTGCAACCCTCAGACCTCAGCCTCCTGAGTAACTAGAATTAGAAATACAGGTGTGAACCTGGCTGAAGATTGAGCAAAGCAAACTTTTTTTTTAAAGTTCAATGCAGTGGACTTTGGTGAAACATGGCAAAAGTTCAGCTGTTACTCTTATGGCTCTTCAAACCATCCTTGTTTGTTTTTTGTTTGTGCCAGTCCTAGGGTTTAAACTCAGAGTCTGGACACTGTTCCTGAGCTTTTGGGCTAAAGGCTAACATTCTACCACTTTGAGCAACAGATCTACTTCCAGCTTTTTGGTAGTTAATTAGTCTCACAGACTTTAGTGCCTGGATTAGCTTTGAAGCTCAGTCTTTGGATCTCAGGATTGTAGGTAGACCTGAGTTGCTAGGTTTTGGCAACAGTGAAACTTAAAAAACAAACAAGCCAGGTGCCTAGCTACTCGGGAGGCTGTGATCTGAGGATCACGGTTCAACGCCAGTCTGGGCAGGAAGGGCTATGCGACTCTTATCTCCAGTAAACCACCAGAAAACCAGAAGTGGCGATATGGCTCAAGTGTTAGAGCACTTACCTTGAGCTGAAGAGCTGAGGGACAACACTCAGGCCTAAAAAAAAAAATCCAACCCCCCCCCCCCCCAAAAAAAAAAAAAACAAAAACCCACAACCAAAGCTGGGTGCCAGTGGCTCATGCCTATAATCTTAGTTACTCTGGAGGCTGAGATTTGAGAATTGAAGTTCTAAGCCAGTCCTGGCAGAAAAGTCCCCATGAGACTCTTATCTCAACCACTCAAAAACTGGAAGTAGTACCATAGCTCAAGTGGTATAGTGCTTAAGTGCTAGCCCTGAGCACAAAGAGGCTCAAGGACAGCACCCAGGCCCTGCGTTCAAGGCCCACAACTGACCCCCCCCCCCCCCCAAAAAAAAAAAGTGAAGCTTGCTGGGCGCTGGTGGCGTGTGCCTATAATCCTAGCTTACTCAGGAGGCTGAGATCTTGAGGATCATGGTTCAAAGCCAGCCCAGGCAGGAAAGTCTATATCTTTATCTCCAATGAAGCACCAGAAAACTAGATGTGGCAATATGGCTCAAGTGGTAGAGCGCTCACCTTGAGCTGAAGAGGTCAGGGACAGCGCCCAGGCCCAGAGTTCCAGTCCCATGCCTGACCAAAAAAAAAAAGTGTTTTCAAGACTCCATCTCCAGTTAGCCACCAAAAAGTTTGCTGTAGTCATGGCTTATTTGATAGAGCATCAACTATGAGTGAAAACTGGATACCTGTAGTTTAAACCCTAGTACTGACCCAAAACAAAACAGTCACTTAAAAAAAAACAAAACTGGAGGTAGTGACATACACATAATCCCAGATACTCAGAAAGTAGAGGCTGGAGTATCTTGAGTTTTATGCCAGTTCAGACAGAGTTAGTGACATTCTTGTCTCAAAAACAAATGGCTGGGGCTGGGAAGGTGGCTCAGTGGTAGAGTGCTTGCCTTGCATGCATGAGGCCCTGGGTTCGATTCCTCAGCACCACATAGGCGGAAAAAAAAAAAAAAGCTGGAAGTGGAGCTGTGGCTCAAGTGGTAGAGCACTAGCCTTGAGCTGAAGAGCTTAGGGACAGCACCCAGGCCCAGAGTTCAGGCCCCACGACCGACCAAAAAAAAAGAAAAAGAAAAACAAATGGCTGAGGGTTGTGAATGTGGCTTAGGGGTAGAGTGTTTGCCTGGCATGCATGAAGCCCTAGGTTGGAGATCCAAAAACAGAAAAAGCAGGAAGTGGTACTGTGGCTCAAGTGGTAGAGTGCTAGCCTCAAGCAAATAAAGAAGCTCAGTGACAGTGCTCAGTCCTTGAGTTCAAGCCCCAGGACTGGCAAAAAAAAAAGTCTGAAATAGTAGAGTGCTTGTCTGGTATGTACAAGAACTTGGGTTCAGTCCCCTGTACCACAAAAGAAGAAACAAAGACATATAATGATGGTTTTGTGTGATCTTCAGGAACAAATTGAATCCTTGTTGGCTTTGATGGAGGCAGGGATCTGCAGGAAAGCTTGGGCTTTCCATTTCCTGGGGGACCATTTATCTCTGCTATCAAAACATCTTTCCTCACACAAAAATTTCTTTTGTTTTGTTTTGTTCCCCTCAGATTACAGAGTTGAAGGCTGATTTTCAATACCAGGAATCTCAGATGAGGGCCAAAATGAACCAAATGGAGAAAACACACAAAGAAGTCGCAGAGCAATTGCAGGTAATTCTCTGGTGCGCTTGGCTGATTGCATTTTAAATAATCATCTCATGTTTCTTTTTTCTCAAAGTTTTGGGAAATCACACCAAATCTCCCTTTTGGATATCTTTTATTACTATTTTACTCTATGATATATTCTGATCTTTTTCTCTCAAGAACCATGAAATTGGCCGAATGCCAGAGGCTCATATCTATCATCCTAGCAGCTAATCAGGAGGCTGAGATATAAGGATCGTGGTTCAAAGCCAGCCTTGCAAGGAAAGTCTGTGAGACTCTTATCTTCAGTTAACTACAAAAAATATGAAAGTAGAGCTATGCCTCCAGTGGTAGAGCACTAGCCTTAAGCAGAAATGCTAAGGGACATTACCCATGCCCTGAGTTCAAACCTCAGGACAGATAAAAAACAACAACAACAAAAAAAACACTGGAATTAACAAATGAGTTCCTTGATTTTTTTAATATACCATGTATGATTCCAGGTGTCTGAATTATAGATTCTGTTTACTGAACTCATTAAAGCACGACATGGTTGGTTTATATTGCATAAAGTAACCTGTTTTACTTCTGTGTGGTGTGTGGCATTATTCAGGCTTGAACTCAGGGCCTTTCCCTCTCATTTGGCTTTTTTTTTTTTTGCTCAGGGCTGGCACTCTACCAGTCACTGCTCTACTTCCAACCCCTTTCTGGTTAATTGGAGAGATCAGAGTCTCACGTCACAGACTTTGCTACCTGGGCTATTTTTGAACTGTGATCGTTGGATCTCAGCCTCTTGTATACTGAGTATTACGGGAAAGAGCCACCAATGCCTAGCTAAAAAGTGTCCTTTTGTTTTGGTGAGTTCCAAGAGATTGAGGCTCGTCAATTAGCCTATAGCAAATACTGTCTTCCCTGAACCAAATATGTAGCCTTATGACTTTCTTCCTAATCTTCTGCATTGTTTGCTTTCATGTCTGCATGGAAAACCTATCCTAATCTTGACACTGATTTTTATTTTCCTTTTAGGCCAAAAACAGAGAGCTCCTGAAGCAGGCAGCTGCCTTGTCTAAGAGCAAGAAGTCTGAAAAGTCAGGCGCTATAACCTCTCCATGACAGACCATCAAGAGGCTCCCTAGCAACAGCAGATGGAGTCGTCCTGGGTTGGAGACCTGGCTGTTCTCTAGAATCGCAAGCTTTCTTAAGAAATCTCTATTTTATTACAGCTATCCTTCTTTGTGCAACTGTCATGGGCTGAATGGAAACATCCGCGTTGTGCGCTGTTAATGACTGCATGCTTGAGTGTTTGGGGTTTCAAGTTCACTCTCTCTCCTCCCTACTCCCACCTTGTCCTTTTCCTCTTCCCTCTGTCGATCCCTCCAGATCCCTCTACTCCTCCCTCCCACTTTTTTTATTTTGATACTACTTTTTGGGGTGTGTGTGTGTGTGTGTGTGTGTGTGTGTGTGTGTGTGTGTGTGTGTGTGTGTGTGTGTGTGTGTGTGTGTGTGTGTGTGTGTGTGTGTGTGTGTGTGTGTGTGTGTGTGTGTGTGTGTGTTGGTCACTGCTCAGTGTTTTGTGCAGAGTGATGTTTTCTGTTCATCCTTGGGTCCTGCTATACCCGTGGGCAAATTGTTTGCATTCATTGTGTATCACTGCCACTCTCTGAACTTTAAAAACTGCCACCTTAAGACTTGTTACAATGAGAGAGGCCTTCTCTCTCAATAAAGCTTTTGCTTCAGGGTATCTTTGGGTTTTTTTTTTCCAGGTATATTATGTATGAACTTTGTACTATGTATAGCCAGAGTTTTATTTATTTTTTAAAAAAAGAAACTTTTTCTTGCTAAAGGAATAATGGTAGCTGAGCTAGTCCTTGTAAAAGTGATGTCTCCTGAAAATAAAGTCCTATTCTCTAGCTTTTAGTAAAAGAATCAGATGGTTTCTTGTTACCTTACAGTCTTAAAACCGATCACTAAGGTGAAATATTTGATGCAGAAGTTCAGAGCTAAGTGCCTTTTGGAGAGTTTCTCGGAGGAGCATTTAAGGAGATGCTTGAGGTGGTTGCAAAGATTTGAACAGTCTGTCTTTTTAAAGTAAGGGCAGAAAGAAAGGTTGTCCAGGTTCTACTGGACACTTCCCCACCCTTTCCCTACTCCTTTATGTGATTGATTCCAAATTCTTACACTGCCACTTCTTTGGGGAAAAAAAAATACCCTTTACTTGCTTTTATCAGTTATTATACTGGGCATTTGTCAGAAAACATTTCTTTTTTCATTAGCATATTCAAAACTGGATAATATTTGAACTCTGGAATATCAGAGGGTCAGTATGAGCTGCATATGTATGGCCTGTGAGTCTGATCAGGAGAATATCACTGTACCCTCTTCTCACCTCTTGCTCACTCTGGCCTGTGCACCCTTGCTTTTAATGGAAGTGTATGGAAAATCGGTGCTTCTCAGGAGCAGCACAGCCTCTGCCAGAGCATATGTACCCTGTCTTCCCTTAATGACCCAGTAGGCACATGGGAAGGAAGATAGATTTATATTTCTAGCCATACTCTTCAGGTTCCTCTATGTAATGTTTGTGAAGGAAATTGGAGGTGTGTAGTATGTGCGATGAAACAGAACAAAGCCAGTTACCTCTACATAAATATGGTGAGGGAGCAAGGTAGAATTAAGGGTAATCATTATAAGGACAGCAGACATTTGTTCTCAGTCTCTCAAAATTGTAACAGTAAATTTAACTTGTTAAAAGCAAAGTATTCTGTAATTTGTGATATTGTTCTGGAAAAAAGAGCCATGCATATAGCTGGACAGATGAGAAGTGGGTGGCTTCCTTTTCATCCAAGATACAATGGACCATGTTGCATTTTTATCAGTTTGCATCCCAGCAAGGAAAACAGTGTGAAATAGTTTTGTAACTTTTTGAACAAGAGACTTGTAGCTAAAGCTAAATGTCAGATATTTTTCAGATGTATTTGACTATGGAGAAAGGATTCTGAAAGAAATGACAGTCATGGTTTTGTTCCCTTGTTTTTTATTTTAAAGACTGAGAAATTCAGATACATAAAGTTTGACAATATAAAAATACATACATAATTTTTATACTAAATCTTTTTTTAAGGTCTTGACATTTAATATAAAGTAAATCCACACATTTTTAACTTTCCATAAGTTCTTAAAAGGGAAAGAAGAAATCTCAATTCTTAAAACTTTGATTTTTAAAAATCATGACACTGTTTTACCATGAAATTGAGTAGCTAACTTTTGGTAACACCTTTCATTTCTTTGTATGTTTGTAATAATGGACATTTTAAAACAAGAATGTTTTGGTTTGTACAGACTTTGGCAAATGTGTGTTAATAAAAATTCATATTGACTCAAGTGTAATTGAAGTATAACTGTGTTTTGTGTTGTGTGCGTGTGTGGTGGGGTATTAAACCGGAAACTTTGTGCATGTCAGGCAAAGGCTCTACCATTAAGTTATACCCATAGCCCTATGTTTATTTCTAGCCTGGTCACCAATAGACATATCCCATTATCCTCTTCAATCCTGAAAACAGTTTATCTTGCTTGTAACCTAACAGGAAGCTTCAAAAGTATGAAGAGTTAGCCATCCCAGGCACTGATGATTCACATTTGTAATCCTAGCTACTCAGGAGGCTGAGATCTAAGAATCTCAGTTCAAAGCCAGCCCAGGTAAGAAAGTCCATGACACTCTTATCTCCAATTAACCACCAGAAAAACTGAAGTGGTGCTATGGCTCAAAGTAGTAGAGCACTAACCTTGAACAAAAGAGCTCAGGGACAGTACCCAGGCCCTGAGCTCAAAGCTATGACTGACAAAAAAAGAGCCTGGTACAGGTGGCTCTTAGCTATTCAGGAGGCTGAGATCACAGTTCAAAGCCAGCCTGGCAGGAAAGTCTGTGAGACTTCTCTCCAGTTAACTACCAAAAGACCAAAAATGGAGCTGTGGCACAAGTGGTAGAGCAAGCTTTGAGTGAAAAAGCTAAAGAACACCTAAGCCCTGGGTTCAAGCCCTAGTACCAGCACAAAAAGGAACGAATGAGGAAAGGAAGGGAAGAAAGAAAAAAAAAATTCTGGACTGGGAATGTGGCTTAGTGGTGGAGTGCTTACCTAGCATGCATGAAGCTCTGGGTTCGATTCCTCAGTATTACATAAACAGAAAAAGCTGGAAGTGGTGCTGTGGCTCAAGTGGTAGAGTGCTAGCCTTGAGCAAAAGAGTTCAGGGACAGTGCCCAGGCCCTGAGTTCAAGCCCAGGACTGGCAAAAAAAAAAAAAAAGTTCTGCTTCTTAGTGTGGCTGGTATTTAGCCACATGAGTGGGCACAAGGGCCAAAATGCATTGAATGGAAGACTTCATATCTGCATTCCATTGCGCATGTTATAATTTAATAAAAAATTGAGTATCAAAAAATGCTTCTGGAACCAATGCCTGGTTTTGAGACAACTGGTAAGTCCATCTTCTGTGTATATAATTAGGACTGTATTGTTGCATATAGGGCACATACTCTGCTACTTAACAGTTGTATCAGTTGTATGCTATTGGACAAGTACCAACAATCCCTAAGAATAGTAATTTCCTTTTTTTTTTTTTTTGTCTTTTTTTTTTGTGAAAATACTGTACAGAGGGGTTACAATTACATGGGCAAGATAATGAGTACATTTCTTATCAAGCATTGTAGCCTCCTCCTTTGATTCCCCTTCCCATCCCTTCCCATCCTCTCCCTGCCCCCTCCCCTTTTTTTTTTTAAATCAGTCATGGGGCTTGAACTCAGCTTGGTTGCTTTCTTTCAGCTAGCTCTACCACTTGAGCCACTGCACCAGCACTTCCAGTTTTCTGGTGGTTTATTGGAGATAAGAGTCTCACGGACTTTTCTGCCTGGGCTGGCTTTGAACTATGATCCTAAGATCTCAGCCTCCCGAGTAACTAGGATTACAGATGTGAGCCACCAGCGCCAGACTAATTTCCTTATCTGTACCAAATTGCTAATCTCACTTTGATGGAGACAAGCCTGAAAGCCTATTTTTGTTTGCTCTATATAGTTTTTGTTTTTTTTTGTCGGTCGTGGGGCTTGAACTCTGGGCCTGGGCGTTGTCCCTCAGCTCTTCAACTCAAGGCCAGTGCTCTACCACTTGAGCTACAGCGCCACTTCCAAGACTATTTTTGTTAATTAACAAAAGAACTGAATGCTATGAGTAATGCTAAATCCTCAGTATTTAGCATTGAGATGTAGCTCGGGGTGGTAAAGCAAGTACAATGTGCTGATTTTGATCCCCAGTACCAAAAAAGAAAAGACCAAAAAAATGGTTTAAAAAAAATCACAAACCAAACATTTAAAGTACTAGGTATTTAAATTTTCTGTTTGTTTGAACTATCAGAAAACTACTCTTAAGACAGGCATTCCTGGCTCATGTCTATAATCCTAGCTACTCAGTAGGCTGAGATCTGAGGACTGCAGTTCGAAGCTGGCTGGGGCAAAAAAGTCCCTGGGATTCTTATCTCCAATAAATTACTCAGAAAAAGCCAGAAGTGGAGCTGTGGCTCAAATGGTAGCATTGAGCACAAAGAGGCTCTAGGAAGTGCCCAGGCCCGGAGTCCAAGACCCAGGACTGACAAAAATTAAATAAATAAAAAGCTGCTCTGGGAGAATGTGAGTTGTTTGGACAAAGAGAAACAGCCTGAATTTCTGACACAGGTGCAAAGCTTCAGATAAGATGTTTCCAAGTACAACATTCCACGTTTATCTTCACATTTTAGTTTCCTAGGAAACAGGGATCCTGAATCCTCTTGATAGCTCAGAACTGATGATAATCCTTTTACACATATCCCTGGTATGCTTTGAGGCTATTTAAAAAAGCCTGTTTCTGAGGACGTGGCTCAGTAGTAGTAGTTACTGGCATGCTGAATAGCCCTAGGCTGATCCCCAGTACCACAAAAACAACCAACCACAGAGCTGCTTTTATACATATTCTCTGTTTGTCTCTGTCTCTGTCTCTTTCTGTGTGTCTCTTTCTATAGATAGATAGGTGGTAGACGAGAGACAGATAGATAGATAGCTAGAGCCCCAAGACCAGCAAACACAAATAATTTTACCTTTTTTTTTTTTCTCGGTCATGGGGCCTGAACTTTGGCCCTGGGCACTGTCCCTTAGCTCTTCAGCTCCAGGCTAACGCTCTACCACTTGAGCCGCAGCACCACTTCTGGCTTTTTCTGTTTATGTGGTGCTGAGGAATTGAACCCAGGGCCTCATGCATGCGAGGCAACACTCTACCACTGAGCCACCTTCCCAGCCCTTAACCTTTTTTTAAAACAATGCCATTCTTGGGTCTTGAACTCAGGACCTACATGCTGTCTCTGAGCTTTTGTGCTCAAAGCAGCACTCTACCATTTGAGCCACAGCTTCACTTCAGGC